ACCATTTGTCTCTCCTTATGACCTTGAATTCTCTGTAAGACTTCTTGTCAAGTTTTCGAAATGTCCGACTGTACTAACGATATTATATATTGTCGTAGTGCATGACGTTATATATAAAAAATGACAGCATCGAATCAACATTAGTCAACCCTAACACAAGTACATGAAGTGAAAATATAGTTAACTTAAGATAATTCTCTCAAATAACATTTAAATAATGATTGTTCATGAAATACCAGGTTTGTATGCCACTTACGGGAAAGAGACTATCTTCACATTGATTTTGTTTAGGATGTAATCAAAAACCCTTCCACTTTATGTAAAATCTAAAACTACTTAAAATGAAGAAGAAACCTTTTTATTTACATTTAATAGTATCATATTGATCGACTAAAGATCTGTAGAAAAATAATGAATACTTGTTACTTGTTTAGTTAGCTAATATTTTATACCTGGAAGCCCCAGCTGACGTAGGATTCTCATATGCTATGGATAATAATATAACTACAGATGATGATTTCATGAGTTTTGTAAATATATCCATCATCATGTATTAATTACTATTATTCATGAAAATAACAGTGTTCACATTTTTAAATAAAAACAAATTGTGCTTGACGTTAAGTACACTATTTAAATTATTGTTTGTTGTAAAGAAGAAGTCACGAAGCAAGCCCTAACTTGAAATCCTGAAGTGAAGCGGAAAAGAGGAAGGTCAAAGAGCATATTACGTCGGGAAAAAGAAGCAGATACGAAAAGTATGAATAATAACTGGAAAGAGCTGGAAAGGTTTGTCCAGGACAGGGTTAGATGGAGAGTGCTGGTAGGCGGGCTCTGCTTCTCCACAAGGAGTAACAAACGTAAGTAAGTAACGACGAATGTGTATACCATTAACTAAAGTGTGAACAGATTATGAAAAAAAATCGGGTGTGTTGCTGATTTATATAATGTGTAAGAAAGAGAAACTCTCAAACACTTGGAAAATAAATTATTGCTGATAGTTAATCACAACGTATACTACTGTAGTGAACAAGAACACCAATGGGAACAATCGAATGTATTCAGCTCAAAATTACAGAGCATCTCAATAAAATCTGAGAATCATATATTAAATCGTTAATTTGCAAAATATTAATCCATCATATCAAACTGGACTGTTTTTGTTGCAAACATTAATCCGTTATGTGACATTTTATTGTTCATGAGTTTTCATACAAATTCTATCGAGTTCCTGCTCTTTCTTTCTTGATCTTCCCCCATCTTCTGCTGCCAGACATTATGTTCACGACTCACGTCATATACTACTTATGTCTACATAAGTAGTACACACCACACTACTACCACATAAACCAGAATTGTTATTTTAGTCTAAATAATCAAAAGTTAACACTGATCATATGTACGTTTATTATTTTATTATTGTGAAAAATCCAATGACAAATAAAAATAATTGACTGTAGATGGTTGTGGAGATTGTCGAAATTTCGTTGAAACAGTGAGCCAGTTTAAGTTAGATCACTACTGAAAACCTGGAAGTAATGGATGCTGAATGCTACTCAGCGATCAGTCATTTCCAAATATAAATAGTTTTTGATTACATTTTTCATAGGCTACATAAACACTTACATGGTTTCACTAAAACCATGAAGCGATGTAAGTTGGACCACTATTAGGAACCTCAAAGCACTGAACGCCTATTTCATCCTAATATGGAACCCAGCTCAATTTCGCGAATTGATAAGCGTGGTCTAAAAGTTAAACATTTACATGCGAGATCAAAGGTCCTGAGTTCAATTCTTGCTTACAGGATTGTGGATGGGCACTGATGTGGAATCCCATACAAGGACGAAATAGCCGTCCATCACTTCTAGATTTCAGGTGGTAGTCTACCTTAGACTGGTTCGTGATTTTAATTAAATAAAAATAAAACTTATTTCGTTCACGGAATTCGATATTTCTATAACTTGCTTAACTGAATAGCACAATCTGCTATTCACAGATTAACCAGCAGTATTCTGTTAACAAACAACAATGAATGTGATTAGAAGAACAATAAAGCTTTCTACTGTATCAGGATCAAACCTGAAATCTAACTGTTTATTGTATAATGAGACAAAAATCATGGTTTGTATATATTTACATATGAATCTATCGATAACTTACGTACGTCACAATTCACGGGAAAATAACGCAGATACGAAAACCATTACTGCACGAAGTAAGCACTGGCGATTTTATTTAGAATTACAATGAAAATTTCGCAGTTAAACCAACTAGCTCAGATAACACAACAGAGTTTCTAATATAGGAATCCTTAGTATTTGGTATTTTCAAACCCATCAGGGTTCAGATTCAATATATTAAGGTTTCGCCGAGAGCATTTATCCTTAAGAAAACTGTATTAGGATCTAATACTTTAAATGGTAATCTGCTTGAGTGTCTTGATTACCTGTTTTTGCCATTTAGATATTTCAACAAGTTATCTGTTTTTTTGTTTGTTTTAGCACATCATTATACCTATTAATCTCATAACCTATTTAGGTGCGTACAACTTGCAAAAACTCTCAATCAGAGATATCATGGTTTCTGACAATATGTATCGAAAAGAATGTACATCATTCAGATATCGATTCCTAAACTGCCAACATTTAACTGGCGACCATTAAATGTCTATCATCAGGATCGATCAACAAATAAGAAGAAACTTGTTGGAATACTTTGTTCTGAGAATTCCATATTGTACCAAAACTATAATATTGAATAAAGGTAACCATAATAATAATAATTCATTACATTTGAACTACTAAGGTAGAAAGCTTCAAAGTAATTAAGATTTTTACTTTGATGTTTAGAATTTCAAAAATTGTGACAATTTCAATTTCTTTCAAGCAGTCATTTGAAAGTTACTAACTTGTGAATCCTGTTTAGATGTTTTTCACTAAGACTTTGAAGACAAATGAAAGATAAAACGTAAATGTACGTTGTTAGTTGACTTAATTAAGGAGACAGTTGTGAACTTCAATAATGTCCTTCAGAATTTATCACTTGATGAGTTGAAAGTCATTAGAAATATTTTAAATAAAACACAAGATACACAGTTTTTTTCTAGGTATCCTCTTGTTAAGAGTATTTCAATTACTCAGTTCAGCTTTCTTTAAGACCAGCCCTCAGACTGCACTATTCGTATCAGTCCAAATTATCTTTCCCACAGAGACAAAGTTCAAACAAATTTCCCCCGTCATGACTTGTAGAAGAAAATTTAAAGTCAAAAGTGTTCTGCTTGAAAACTCCGTGACTATTCCCCAGATCCCAGATTATATTACTCATAATCAAAGTATTTTGAAGGTAACCAATCATATGAATGTGTTTAAGTAAAATAGTATTCAGTATTACGTCATCAATCAATAATTCTTAATCAATACTAAAAGGCCAGAGATTTCTAAAGCTATCTTTGTTAGTGTACAGCTATTTGTTCAAAAACAGTAATGATGCCATAAACTAATCAAGTCACACTGATCAATTTGGTGAGTAGACAAATACTACTGCTTGTAATGAAAATCGAAATGTTTGAAAATTATTTCTCTTCATCTAATCTATTTTCAACAATAATAGATGTATAGAGTGAACTCAAAGAACAAACTTTTGAAAGCTGTGTATGTCAGACCGATTAACCTGAACAAACTAAACTATGTGTAACCACTTATTTATGAATCTACAGCTCTCGTTCTGGGAGACAAATAGCTCCAAGTGATGTCTTCAATACTCAGTGACAGAATATTAACTAGTAAGGTATTTTGCTGTGTAGTTCCTCAACATTATAAAACAGAACTGTTGTGCTGTACTCTGTGAGGAGATTATCTCCAGAGTTTTAAAACTCAAGACAGATATTAGTCAATTTGAATTTATCAAATGAACAGTTTAACGACAAAAATAATGTTTCATATAATACTTTACGACATTCGAGTTGTATTTGTTAATCTACTTATAACTTTTAGTAGTAGTATAAATGAAATCTTAAACTTTTTATCACACTTCACAACAGATTGAAGTCTTTTGATAATTCAATATGAAATTTAAATTAAATATTTTATAATATTATTATCACAACATACTGTATATTTATAATAACAACACTATATACAATTGAATTTAATGTTTGATTAAAAATTCGTAAACAAGTGACATCAGAAAGCATTTTCGATTCATGACAAGATATACTCTTATGAATATGAGGTATTAGATTGATTGGTTGATTTATATTTATATATCTTCTATATGTCCATTAAATGAATATGTATGTGTGTATATTAGTGCTAATGCAAATTTCAGTGTATTTAATAAAAACTCATACTGATGGAAATGGTATTTCTATCATGAATATCCAAATAGATTGTATTTATAGTCTTTGTGTGAATGTATAAAGATTTACAATCCATGAATTATTACTTTTGCAATTTGCTATTTATGATCATTAATTTTTTTCGCTTAAATTGATAACAAAAAATTAAAGAAATAATTTATCCGATCTTTAATGAATCATAATGGTTTGAAAAGTATTCCAACCGATTTATTCAGGGTTTGTTTACAAAACATTTGAAAAAGTAAAATGATATATTTAAAATTGAATGTAAAATTCATTTGAATTATAATTTCTATAGATACAATAATGAAGGATAGATAAATGCGTGGATAGATAGATAGATAGATAGATAGATGTGTGGATAGATAGATAGATAGATAGATGTGTGGATAGATAGATAGATAGATAGATAGATAGATAGATAGATAGATAGATAGATGTGTGGATAGATAGATAGATAGATAGATAGATAGATAGATGTGTGGATAGATAGATAGATAGATAGATAGATAGATGTGTGGATAGATAGATAGATAGATAGATAGATAGATAGATGTGTGGATAGATAGATAGATAGATAGATAGATAGATAGATAGATAGATAGATAGATAGATAGATAGATAGATAGATAGATAGATAGATAGATAGATAGATAGATAGATGAGTGGATAGATAGATAGGTAGATGTACGTTGTGATATATTGTTTCACATATACCGATGAAGTTGAAATATGAAGAGCATTATATATTTCATATATATTATATATAAATGCTATTTTGTATTTAAATCAAAAGATGTACTTTTATAAAATTGTGAATCAGGTAAAATTTCATACATTAATTTATAAATCCATTGAATAAACCACGGTATACCATTTGAATTTATTAGATCTGATTCATTATATTCATTAGATTGAAATAATTCAATAAATATATTAATATATAATAATAATTTATAAATTAATTTCCATGGCCATATAATCAATGATGCTAATTCATGATTTGATATATAAGCAAAACATGATACTAAAACATTATCGACAATCATTGTACCAGTATCAGTAATTGGTGCATATAAACCAATTTTATATAGGTGTTCATAAGGTGTATTATTATTAGTATTATTATTATTATTATTCATTAATAATGAATTTCTTAATTGAACTGAAATAATTTCTGCTTTCATTAATTCATTTGAATTATTATAATTATAATTATGATTATAAACAAAAATGATTTGACCTTTTTTAACAGACGATGCAAATACAGCTTTCTTATTCATACTATTTATATTATTATTATTACTTATTGTAGTATTATCATATATAAAAATTAAATGATCTTCAGTTAAATAAATACTATTTTGTTCTTGTTGTTGTTCTTCTTCTTGTAGCCCTTGTTGTTGTTGTATTAAATTTGAATGAATTTGATATTTAATTTCTATTAATGGACTCCATGCATGTTGATCATAATCAAGAAATCCAAAAACTAATGTATTTGTTATAAGACCATTCATTGGATTTTGTGTTATAATACGATCACCAATTTTTAAATCTTTCATTGATATTAATTGACCATTTGATTTAAATACTTTTGATTCACTAGGAAAACAACCAAACCATTGAGATGTAACAATAGAATCTAAAAATAAAAACAAAACAAAAAAAAATTTTTTTACTTGAATTTTTAATCATTTAGTTATATTCAGAAAGGGGTTTTCGTGAATATTATAGTAGTTTAGTTGTTCAATTCATGAGTCAATTGAAGCTAGACCACCAAGGAAAACCTGGAAGCACATGAGTTCTAGCGAGAAGTAGTGATCAGTAGAGTTCAACTGGGTCATTTGTGAGATGGTAACTCACTGACGACAATGGTGTACAGTGGTACAATTTCGTGAATTAGTTGAAGTTAGACATTAACACGGTTGGATGCTGGCTGGCTCAGTGGTCTAAAGGTTAGGTGGTGACGCGCGAGACTGATAGGTTCTGGGTTCGAATTTCACGAGGCTGGATCGTGAATGAGCACTGCTGAGGAGTCTCACGGTAGGACGGAACAGCCGTTCAGTGTTTTCAGGTTTTCCATGGTCGTCTAGCTTCAATTGATTCATGATTTCAACAATTAAATGATTTGAAATATTATATACAGCCACTATTTATTCCTGTTTATTTAAAGTGGATGAATTACAAACGAATGTATTGTGATAACATGGAAATTTGTGAGGTCAATCTAAGCTAGACCATCAGTGAAAACCTGGAATCACTAGACGACTGTTCCATCTTAGTATGGAACTCCTCAGAAGTGATCATCCACGATCATTTGGGATCGATAGTATGGCGCAAGGTTGCTTAATCTCTGGATCATTTGGCCAGGATCCAATGATGTTAATGTTTAATCAACCCATAATGTTACAAAATACGCTTACAGGATAGTGGATATACACTGCTAAGGAGTACTATAATTGAACGAAACGGCTGTTCAGTGTTTCCAGGTTTTCAATAGTGGTCTAATTTAAATCAACTCGTGATTTCAATTGTAAGAATTTATTATAGTTTATTTGAAGTTACACAGGAAATATGGATGCAAAATTTGTTAATTCACAAACAAAACATCAATATATTTTGTCTAAAGAACTGTTGCTCAGTTATAGCTGATTCATTTTATATCAACTACATTGTTAACGCAAGTTCATAAAATAAACTTGTCATGTTTTACATGAAAATATTTTTTTAATATATAAGATTTACTTCGTTTTACAATGTGTTTTTTCATAGTAACCACCCACAAATAAACAATCTCAGGGTCACTAAGTGTGTTTAAATCCTTATGGTTTGAATATTGAATCAATTAAGAAATATAATGATCTGTTCTTTCGATTCACAGTTCACTAAGATTATTATTAACAATAAATTATTCTTTCTTAAATCTTTTCAATAGTTGGTAAGTTCTGATGCATTTGTAATGTTGGTTGCCATGTTAAGCCCATATACCTTATTCTAGCTTCTGGATAGGCCAATTTATCCATCCTTCTTGATTCATCTTTTGATCATGTTAGTTATTCGCATATCAACCTTGACTGTTTTTATATGAGCGTATGTGTGTACACTTCTCATTCTATTCATCACATGTCTGTAACCAATTTTTATCCGGCTATGGATATTGATTAACGCTTAATTAAGTGAAGTTGGCTTATATGCCTTCTCCATCGCGCAATATTTCGTTTGACTCTCTTCTCTTCATTTTCATCACTTCGTTCCTCCGATCGTTTGTCTGGATCAATGATTATGTGAAATATACATATTCGCAATTCATTCTCAGATTCGGCTTATTTAATTCCGTTATTCACTAACTCATATTCATTCGAGGTTAACCGACATATGTATTTCAACAACATTCATACGATCCAGTTGAAATCAGATATCGAGCCACTAAAGTAATGAAACCATCAACAACATCTTTCAATCTAATTGACGTCAAAATGATGGGCTCCCACTAAACATTTCATACATAATCATCCCAGAAAATTACAAAAATATTCATATAAATTATAATTTACCAGATCAAGTTTTAAATTTTATATTTTATGTTTTTCGGCAATTCTTTTTTTTTCTTTAGAATAAGTCTACATGGTAGGTAAAGAATAGAAAGAATAGAGTAAAAGTCTTGTTTAGACTAATGTTTGTTTGCGTGTATTCAATTTTCAAATTTGTTTCTGGCCAAATTTTCTACTATACATGTTATACTGTTTAGTTATGATAAATCAATTTTTATGTTTAATTTTAATATTAATTAATGGGTTATTAAATTAAATTTTTGCTCATTATGTTTTGCGAAATGAAAATTTACGTAGTTGCTAACTTACTGATTATTATTATTATTATTAAAGTGGAAGTTTTGTGGAGATTGTTGTAAATTTATTAGTTGAATTCATGGATCGATTAAAGCACGGACACATAAGGCTTGACTAGCTTTCGTCAACTGGCGTCATTTATGGAGTAGACGTGATATCCATCTACCAGCCAAAGGACGGGTTTACTGTGCAGCAGTTCGTTCCATCCTACTTTATGGCGGTGAAAAATGGCCGATAAGAGTAGAGGATATTCGTAGGTTACTAGTATTCGATCATAGGTGTCTTCGAAGCACTGCTCGTATATCGTGAGACCACCGGGTAAGTAATGCAGTTGTTAGGGAACGGGTACTAGGTAAGGATAGCAAATCAATTGATGAAGTAGTGAAACGTCATTAGTTGAGATGGCTGGGACATGTGTTACGTATGCCCAACCACCGACTACCCTGACGTGCAATGTTTTATGGTGTAGGAGTAGGTTGGAAGAAAGCTAGGGGCGGCCAGACCAAAACATAGCACAAGTAATATTGCAGTTGTGTAATCTCATTTTGTTAAAGATAGAAAAGATATATGCTTGCTGTTTAGTTTCTTATAATTTATTTGTATATGATATCACATCTCAAATTACATAAAGATGTCCCTTGGAACAGCTTCAAGGATTTAACTGTTCAATGTATTTTTTTACAAGACTGGACCAAAACCAAGTTAATTAAGTTAGCCGGGCTTTTATGTATCTTTTTTAAAATGTCAAATAATACCATGTCTATTATTTATAATACATTACAATTTAATGTAATACATTACTGGTAAAATGTGCTTATTATTAAGATTGTTTTACAGAGTTGATCATTAACCAATTAGATGGATTAAAGAATATTGTCGATCAGAAAGGAAAAAACTTTCTCGATTTTAAAAATGTTACATAACTATCTTATTATAATCTTAGAAAACGGTAAAAACTTTCGCGTATTTTACTGTAAGTGAAGTTAATAAAATAACAGCATAGTTCACTAATGAAAAAAGTTAGGCGATCTGATGATCTAATACTTACATATATGGAATCACCTTCAGTGAACTATTTTTCCCAATGAGATCATGAATCGACCAGTGTTAGACCACCAGTGAAAACCTAGAAGCACTGGACAACCAATTTGTCCTGGTACGGGACTCCTCAACAGTACACATCCATGACCCTCCACGTGGGACTCAAACCCAGGACCTTCGGTCTCACGCGCGAACGTTTAACTCAATAATCCCCACGACCCTATACCAATAATTATCATGTGCCCACCAGTGACTGACTTCAAGATGAATTTCATGGAGTTCTCGAGAGAAGCCGTGACTAGTGGAATGCAACTGCGTCTGCTGGGACATAGTTACTCGCCGAAGACACTGGTGGATGGTCGCGTAATATTGTGGATTGGTGGATGTTAGACATTAACACCGTTGGATGCCAGCTTAGTGGTCTAGAGGTTAAGCGTTCACGCGTGAGATTGAAGGTTGTGGGTTCAAGTCCCACATGAGGTATCGTGGATGCGCATTGCTGAAGAATCTCATACTAGGTAGGACAAAACAGCCGTTCAGTGATTCCAGGTTTTTAATGGTGATCTAACATCGATCCATGTAAAATGTCAATCAAAACTCAAAAATCTCCACAACCTTATACTGAAAATCTGTATTATTCAGAGGGGAATTTATAATTATCGTCTTAAAAAAGTTAGTAAATCATTTCAGCACAAATGTTTATGATCTCTAAATAAAAGCAAAATAAATAATTAATTAATTATATAACATCAGTACAATGGAAGATGGTCGCGCAATTTCGTGGATTGGTTGAGGTTAGACATCAACACCATTGGATGCCGGCTTAGTGGTCCAGTAGGTTAGGCATTCGCATGCGCGACTGAAGGCCCTGGGTTCGAATCCCGCGAGCTGGATCATGGATGCGCACTGCTGAGGAGTCTCACAATAGGACAAAACGGCCGTCCAGTGCTTCCAGATTTTCAATATTGGTCTAACATCAATCGGTTCATGATTTCAATCAAAAATAATTAATTAATTATATATCATCAAATAACTTACCAGGTTTAACAGAACAATGTACATGACCAGCACGATTAAAAAAACACCAATCAAAATGTGCTACATAATATGCTATTTGTGCTAATACACCTAAATGTAAATCTGAATTATGTGGTCTACCAAATTGTCGTGTAATTAATTCCATATCTACAGCTCTACCAGCATAATGAAATTCTTCCATACGTAATTCATTTAATTTATTATTATTATTATTATTATTAGTTATTAAATGATTTTGATTAGAATTATAATTATAATTACGATGTTTTCGATCAGTATTTGATGTATATATTGTATTAATTGAACGTTCAACTAATTTATGTAATGATTTATCACTATGATTAGATGAATAAATTTCATTAATTGTTTGATTTAAACGATAAATTGTTATATTTGATTGTTTATGTAAAACATGTCTTGGTAATCGAATCATAGTATCATATGAAGAATCTGGTAAAGATGATGAAACTTTATTTGGATTGAAAAAATATCCAGATGATGTTGATGATGATGATGATGATGATGATGTTGGTGACGACAATGATTGATGTGAATGAGGATTTTGTGTTGGATATGATGAAAAAGATGATTTAGGTAGAGAAGAAATATGTGTTATATAATTTGGATTATTTTTTGTTGAAGGCCAACGATTAGTTTGGGTTGAAATACTTTTTGATGATGGAATAAATTGATTAAATTTTAAACCTTTTGATTGTGTTCCAATTTTGTTTGAATGAGAATTGATTTGAATGAATTCCCCATCCATCATTTCTGGTGTCATATCAATAACTGGTGCATCAAGAAATTGTCTTGATTTAACTGGTACAAATGGTAATGCCCTTTGGCCAGAAAAAACTGCTGGTGAATTTCCTACAAATACTGGATTACGACCATGTGAAACTCTTTCCAGTTTAGAGTTTTTCTCATAAAGTAATGGTGAGTCTTCATGATTATCTTCCACATTATCATCTTGTGGAAGAGGTTTGTAATTTGGTGGCGGTTTAACCCAAGAACGTATCACTCGTAAAATAACATCCTGTTTAGCCCATGTATTATGTATCTGTGTCGATAATTTGATCAGTCGATCTCGACAGCCCTAAAAATGTAAAAATTAAAAAATTTTATAGCTTAGCTTATTATTAGTTTTGTCAGCTTATAGTAACATCTCAATCAGTAAAATCTGAACATTGAACTATAGGTCATTAAATATGGCATGTGAATGGAAATCACAAACCGATATAAGTAAGATAATCATCGGAAACTTGGAAGTACTGGACAGTCATTTTGCTTCAGTATGGAATTCCTCATCAGTGGGCATCCTCGACTTGCATCATGTGATCACTGGTACCTGGCTTTGAGAGAAAATTTCTGAAATTCTAGTGAGATGCACTGACGTGTGGAGTTCAGCAGTGTCGGATGTAAGAAAAGTATCTCCGAAGATAGTGAAATATTGCCACGCAATATTGTGGATTGGTTGAATTATGACTTGTAAAACATTAGATCCCACCTTAGTGGTCTATAGGTTAAACGTTCGAATACAAGACCAAAGGTCCTGGATTCCATTACCGTTTGTAGCGTCGTGTGTATCGACTGTTGAGAAGTACTACACAAAGGACTAACAGGTATTCAATACTGCTTGGTTTTCAGTGTTTGTCCAAATTATATTGCTTAATGATTTTAATTAAATTCAACGATCTGCAAAACTCCACACTAATAGTTGTATTTTTGTGTAGAATTGATGGTTTCAAAGAAAACAATCACGTAATTGCATCTGGATTCACTGGAAACTAAGAATTGATGAACAAATTTCTTATTAAATATTGGTATTCGTAAGTATAGTATTCTCAATCATGGATAAGGTTGAACAAAAGATATTCTTAGTAGACTTGACACCATCAGCCAAAATTTCTAAATCTAACAATCTATTTCTTCAGTCTTTAACCGCTCATTATTTCTTGTTGGCGAATTATCCTCCAGCTCCTATCAGTTAGAGATGATAATCTTTTTAAAAAAATCTGTTTCCATTTTTTATATTGGATTATATGAAGAAGCTGTACAAATGTATTCTCAGCTTACTTACAGAGATTAACTAGTAGTGAATAATTAGTACTTAAAACTAGCTAAATTATTCTTGATTAAGCCGATTAAATTAATGTAATGGATTCGAAAATTGATTTACATTGCTTTATTACTATGTCTGATTGATATTTTCAAAAACTATGAATTTTAATAAATCCTGAATGGGATGTGAACTCACCTAAACTTCCGTACTCAAAACTGTTAAATATTGAACTATGAGTTTTATTTTCATTGAATAATAGTTATAACCGTTTACTTAAAAAGTTGTATATTCAATGTTTTTTTAGCGTTTATTTTAGCTAGTTATTTTTCTACGGGATGGGGTCGCTAACCCCATACCCAACCCTTCTCCTTTATCCGGGCTTGGGACCGGCAGTAGCCCCCGGAGGGACTCCAGGAGGAGTCACTTAAATTTAAGGTATATAAAAATAGTCTTATTTTCTCTGATTTATCCGTTACAACTAAAATAAAACTAGACCACAATTGAAAACTTGGAAACTCTGGACGGCCGTTTCGTCCCAGTATAAAACTCTTCAGCAGTACGCATTCACGACCCGGTACGTCAGAATGGAGCCTGGAAACCTTCGGTCTCGTGCGCGGACGCTTAACTTCTAAACTACTGAACTGTCAACGGTGTTAATATCTAATTTCAAGCGATCTATGATCTTGCGCAACCCTTCATCTATTGTCTGAGGTGGATAACTGTATCACACTCAACACAGATTGGACTTCACTGGTCACGATTTCTCACTAGAACTGCAGTAAATTCATCTTGAAGCTAGTCACTAGTGAGCACATGATTATTATTGTTCTAGGGATTTGTGGAGATTGTAGCATTATAATGACTGAATCCAGGAGTCAGTCTAAGCTAGACCACCATTGATTGACTCATGAATTAAACTGTTAAAATCTTACAATCTCCACAAATCACCAAAATGATGGAATAAACCTGTCAAACTCTTGACTCAAGAGCGTCTAACTATGTTTATTAGATTCGATTATTTCACTCTTTAAAAATTTCAGTCATTGCACCAACAGATATATTGATGATTAGATTCGATTTTTTGTACCTAAAGGCTGATTCCTGAATAACTTAGTTCATGGATTTTGGAGATTGTTGAATTTCCTAATTTTGCATGTTTTTAATAATTAGTAATTTCGACAAGTTATTCCCTGAGTCCTAGTGGGAAAGTTTCATCAGTGGAACTTAACCATATCAGGTGTGGGAAAGATATCACTTTATGACAACCAATGACGGTTCAACAATATTGATTATTTACTGAAGTTGAAAATATGAATCACTGGATACCAACTCAGTAGTCAAAATGTTTAAAGTTTTCTTCATCGCTCTAAGTAACTAAATTTGATCCCTATTAGAGTCTTGAATGCTCACTGTTGAGTAGTCTCATACTAGAAAAAAAATTATTCAATGCTTACTGGTTTTCAATTGTTGTCTGACTAAAGTTAGCCCATAATCTAAAACCGTAAGATTCTTAGTTAAAAGCACTAGCTTATTTAGTAATATTTTGTTTGATTTATTATACAGTTGTCATATACGGGATTAAATGTTCATCAGGCTAAATCGTTAGTTGACAAAAATTAAAATTGTACTGTTGTATTCTGATGAAGTGGTTCTAATAGTTAAGAGCTCACCGAGAGACATAAAGATCATAGGTTCGGTCTTTGGTTTGGGTTATGGATGTGAACTGCTGAGTCCCATATTAGAATTAAATAGTTACCTAATACATTCTTCCTTTCAATAGCACTTCTTATTATTAAAAATAAACCCAATTTCACTTTATCAGAGTTAAAATGGTATTGTTTAAAAAACGATATACAACATTTGACATAATAGATATTTTATACACACCTTGAAATAGTTCAATGTGAATTGATATATAAATTTACAATTTACAAATGAATAAAGTGTTCAATGTAAAAGGCTTAAAGATAACTTCTTTATAACAGTGTTCTTTCAGTATCTATTTATTAAATATGATAGATATAATCAAGGAATGTCAATGTTCCCACTAAAACTCAAACCCAATATCTTTCACTTCAAAAGCTCAAGATGTTATTCACCAAGCTACTGAGTTCATATAGTTACTAACATTTTCAATGAGCATGATGGTCAACCCCTAGAGAACATCTAAACTCATTAATATGTATGTTAAAATGGGAGCTTACTTAATGGGTTACTTAATTACAAAGCAAAATTTTGATTATAAACTAAAATATTCATTCATTATGATGCGGTGAATTAACAGTTCTTTTTTTTCTCTACATTAAAATGAGAAAATTATCATCATTATTGATCCAATATTCTTCTTATAAATAAACTTAGATACTGTAGATATAATGAAACAATCTTTCGAATAATTTATGTACTCGCTTACTATCTTTATCAATGTTTAATATTAAAAATTTTGGGTGGTCTGAACAACTTAAGTGTTTTAAACAGATTTTTGGCATTAGGTAGGCTATTTCAATAATCAAATTTATTAATCTGTCTATTGATTAGATAGAACTGGAATATTTCTATTGTTTAATGTTTTAATACTTTCTAAACACCATTGGTTAGTTATTTCATATCAGATTATTACATGATCTTGAAGTATTAATTATATACAGCCATTCTAGTTATTAAAAAAAAAATTCTTTTTGATTGAGATCATGAATCGAGTGTTTTGTCCTAGTATGAGACTCCTCCGAAATGAGCGTCCACAATCTGGCACATGAGATTCGAACCCAGAACATTCAGTCACTCGCGCGAACACTTAATATCTAGACCATTGAACCGGCATCCAAGAGTTTTAATGTTTAACTTCAATTGTGTAAAAATTACAGTATTATTATAAAAATTCTGTATAGTTTAAGTGTATATTTTTCTTTACATTGTCAATAAAAAGTCATGATATAAGAATAATAAGACTCAATAATCAACCTGAGATTCTGAACGTTACTCATTTATTGATTTTAAAGAAAATCACTTCAGATTAAAATGTGTAGTTACAAACTACTTAGCTCATAATTTATAATAAGAATAATATTAATGTAGATTTCAATAGAAAATAGAATGTATGTTATCAAGACTTTAAATAAATTTAACAGAGATATATTGTTAGCTAGAAATCAATAAACACCGGGGAATAGACATTATAACACTCAAAAATATTGAATAATCAATCATTAAGTTTGATTCCCCACACACACATGATTAGTTTTGGTTAAAAAGTTTCATAATAATGCTTTTAACTGAATTACTATGTTAAGATAGTTTAATTCGGTCATTAAGGAAATAATTTTCATAAGGTTGTAAATACACTATTTTTTATGATTGGGGTGTAGAGTGAAACAAACGTCAATTATTGTTTCTTTACTAGTAACATATAGTATAAATAAACTCATATAGAAAGAATCGATTGATGTAAGACCACTATTGAAAATCTGGAAGCATCGGACGTCCGTTTTGTCTCAGTATAAGACTCTTCAGTAGCACGCATCCATGACTCCGTACTCAGGACTCGAACCTAGGAAATGACTTATCTTCACAACCCTATACCTTCTTTGTAGCTACATGTAAAACAAATTTTTAGATGTTTTTATTAGTGTAAACTGTTTCTTTTTCCTACAACTTGACAAACAAAAAGGTCAAAACTTTTTGTCAGTTATATATAACATTTACTGAATTTAACTTATATGGACATTTGTAAATAGGTCGGTATTTAAAAATTAGCATCTGCCGACTTTGAAAATATTATGCTATATTGACAATTTTTGTAAACAAATAAAAATTGAGATGTTATGAGAGAAAAAATATATTGTTTATTTAACTGTTACACCTCTAGTTCTCTCTCTCTCTCACGCACACACACAAAAACAACAGAGATGTTGTATATTATTACTGCCACTTCAAATCAGACACCCTACTGTGAAAACCATATGTCAATCAACCAGGTATAAAATCGGTATACATCAGACATAGCAAAGACAGTTTCAAATGTCAACAAGTATGTC